GGCTTCGAATCTGCTTGGGATGAATTTCGTTCTAGAGATTAATGACACTTGTTTACACAGTTGTAACCAAAACATACGAAGTTATCAATAATTACTTGTTTCGCATTTCCTATAATAAAAACTTATCAAAGAAGACTTGCGTGACAGCGAGATTGACATGAAGCCTGCACCACAATTTCAACCAATAGAATACGATTGCTCAGTAATGGTGTTCTAAATTCGAATTACAAAAGAATGAACATGCATTAGTGAAAAGAAACACGCCTGTTTTTCTCTCAAAATTATGTGCAGTCCATTACTGCACTTAAACATACTGTATCAAGTGAGGCACTGTTAACGTATTTCTGCTACAACACCGGGATTGTCTGTTCATGCGCAGAACTGTGAAATCGAAGAAATAAGTGGTGCATGCCTATGTGTCTACTTGACTTCACCATTGTTTTGCACCGAGTTGATCGCACCTTGGCAAGATCCACTTACATTTAAGAAAAAATTACCTCTGTGCAGTTTCTTAGATGGCATTGGACACTGTTTGAGTATACCAGTACATGAATGACGCTTTGCTAAAACTGTCAAATGCAACCTTAAAGAACAACATCAGAGCAAACCAAAAGACGTAACACGTTTCAGAAGGTTTAAAATAAAGCACCACTTGAATGCTTTGTGCTGCAACACACTACCTACGCCAGAAGACGCCACAGGCACCATTGTGGCAGAACAGAGCTGCGGAGCACTAGGAGCTTTATGGGTACATAAGGTAATATAATCTGAAGCTTTTACTTCCTATAATTTGCACGGTGACTTAATTATCGAAGAGCCAGAATGCTTTCAAATTTTTTTCATCTCTACGCATGCAGTGAAGCTAAGCAGTGTGACATGTTTTTTTTTTTTTTTTTTTTTTCGCAATGAACGCCTATGTTAGCCTTGTATTGAGTGTTGGGCTAGTTTTGTATGGCAGTGAAAACAACGCTGTCAGGGTAATACAGAAGGAACATAGATGAGGCTGACTAGCAACTGAAATTTATTTCAAGATCAAGAAGATACGAGTGAAAAGCATATCAATATAGTGCAGAAGTGTTAAAAAAGTTGGGAAAGGAAACATTGCGTATTGTGCCATGGCATATGTGCTCAGCAGATACACCAGCTCCTTGTCCGCAACAGACAATGATCCTTGACTTGTACATGCATTACCTAATCCGTTATAGGAGAACTTACCCGGAAATCTAACATTTTCCTATTGCAGCTCTAAATAAAAACAATGGGGCCGAATATTTAAAAAAGGTATTGTGGAGCATACAAGTGCATTGCATATATATTTATAGCCACTATATTACAAAGGAGCTCTTTTAGTTTCCATATAGACGGAGCAATTTCACTGTGATGTTTAAACTCTGCTTTACGTCACTAGGACATGGTATATCGCAGCAGGTAAGCCGCACCTCTCTCATATATTGCCAGTCGCACATTGTGCATACAAACAACACCGCGTTAATTGTTGCCCAGTAATTCCGGCATCAATGCCTGTGTTTTACGATCCATGCATGATGCAAAGTTCTCGCAGTGCACTGCGTTGGCTCGTTGTTATAATGTTCATAGCAGTGAGGCTGGCTTGCCGATTCTGGGCGATGAAAACTTGAAATTAGAAGATATTTTACATGTGTTGTCTGCCACTGATGTGTGGAAAGCGTCAATAGTCCATGCCAATGACAACTAAAAAATCAACAAACATAAAAAGTGAATGATGACCAGTGGACGAAGCAACCGGAAATCATTGGGGTCATTGTGCTTCTGCAGTCCACTTGTGAATGCTTCCGGCGTTTTGTCGCTGCTTCTCACATTTTCACCACCTCCAGATCCTATTGCCGGCGTTGTACGGCTGAAGTTTCCCTTCTCTTAGATTGCCGAGTCTGCATGTGAACGCTTCTGGCGTTTTGCCTCTGCTTCCCGTGCTCTCACCACCTCCATGTTTGCTTGCCGGCGTCGCTGTGCTGCTGCAGCTTCTCGCGCTCTCACCGCTTCCATTTTAGCATGCCGGCGTCGCCGTGCTGCTGCAGCTTCCCGGGCCCTCAGCAGTGGGTCCGCTTGCCGGCGCCGCCGTGCTGCTGCAGCAGCGCGCGCTCTCGCCTCCTCCAGGTTCGCTTGCCGGCGTCGCCGTGCTGCTGCAGCGTCCCGCGCTCTCACCGCCTCCAGGTTCGCTTGGCGGCGTCGGCGTGCAGCTGCAGCTTCGCGGGCCCTTCGCAGAGGGTCTGCTTGCCGGCGTCGACGCGCTGCAGCAGCTCTTCGAGCCCTCAACTCCGCTTGCCGTTCAGCCGCCTCTTCATCCATAGCGGGGGCGACCACCTGTGGCTAAAAAGAGAGCGGGAGTCTAGAATGAGCGCTTATACAGCACGAGGGTGCAGGTATTGATACAGAGAATGCATTGTTTCTAAAGGTGAAGAGTGACTGTAATAAGCAAGACAAATTACAGTACGACAGGTGGTTAGTGCATTTTACAACGAAGCGAGAAAAGGGCACATTACATGGGATAGTGAAAGAGAGAGACAATGTGCTGACTTACAGCCAAGCTTTTATTCCACACATGAATGTATATATAGCCGACACAACATAAAAGGAGGGAGAGAAGAACAGTGGCGTGGAACTTTCAGTCAAGAAATCTTTGTAGACTCCTGTAAAACTTTGAAGAAAAACTGTTTTTTCGCTTCACTGATCATGCACCAAGCAGCCCAAATAAGCAATTTAGTGCGTTTTACCCAATACTGTTTGCACTCCTTCGATATTTGGGAGAGCCGTGAACAGGATATCTTTTATTTTTGGGATGGCCACACCTCTCCCACACATAGATCTGTCTTTATGTAAGAGAACATGGTTTGGTGGCATTGTCTCCAAGTCCCCGACGTCCCTTGACAGGCACATTTCAGTGGGTGCGACAAAGTCTGAATTTGTGCTCAGTAAAAATTATTTTAGCCAAGTTGTCTTTAGAATCATGCTGAGAGTGTTTACGTTAGTGAACATTACTTCGAGCGTTTCTGGGTGTCGCGTGGTCGCAATGTGCGTACTTGGGTTTCTTCGACTTTTTATTGCTGAGGGTTGCACTGAAGAGGCCAAATGCTGTTTGCATCTGCATTTCATCTAAATACTTTATTTTCAATTTTTAGCTTGTTAAACATGATAAACATTACTTCACTCATTACTTCGTTCATTCACCTTGTCGTCTGCCAGTTTATTTGCCCTAGCTGCTTGCAACAGTTTGTTTCTCATACCGCACACATGGCGATTCAAAATCACCCACTCCAATCTTTGACCAATTAAATTATACCAATTTTTAAGTATACCGGCACTCTCCTTTTCTTTTTTAACTCTCCTTTTCTGTTTCTACCCCCTATTCCCCAACCCCAGTGTAGGGTAGCATACCGTATACTAGCATCTGGTTAACCTCCCTGCCTTCCTTTTTTTCTCGTTTCTCTCTCTTTAAGCATACCAGTTTCTTTTCTCAAAAACTTGCAGCTATAGTATTATAGGCCGGGCATTATTGACTTTCCTAATCTATGGATTCGCTCAATAGCCACGAGTTCTACATCAAGTAAATTCTTTATTACTATCTATATTGAACATTTCAGCAAGGTTGCAAGTCTGAAACGACATCTGAAAACGACAGTACCGATAACAGCCATGTTTGTCAACATATGCAGCGTAGTTGTGAGCTTTTCAGCGGTTAGATCTGGTTTTCAATCACGCTACCGACGTCACCATGCCTGTTCCTGCCATTTCTGAATGCACGAAAAAAAAGTGGGACATCTTATTTTATAGGCAAGGCACAGCAATGTGTTAAAAAGCTTAGTTTGCCAGCGATTATTACAAATCAATGTGCGTGAACAAGGATGTCCGAAAAGCGCCATATCGCTTGGCTGGCATGCTTTAATCAAGGAAAGCTGAAGAGAGAAATACATCCCAGTTTTCAGTCATCACTTCATTACAGGTTAGGGTATTTTCGAGTTATGTCCAGGTTTACTACGATTACTAACGTGATCGCACTGCTTCTCCGTAATGCTACCTAGATTCTTTGCGATGTGCAGACAACCTTTTCCCACCAAATAAAGGTGTCTAGTGTTGTTATATGAGGTCTAACAGTGCAACATATGTGAACGTGTCTTCTTTCATAAGACAACCTGTTAATTTAATGAACGACACGAACCCCGAGTGGACACTGAGCCTACTGCCGGGCCATGGCCATTACGACCGGGCTACTGCCGAAACATCTGCGCTTTTCCACCTCTCTAAAAGTTGACAGACGAACACGTTGGATGCAGTCACAGCGAGCGCGCTGTCCACAGAGTCGGGAACATGACTCGAACTGCCTGTCATAGACGCAGCACCAGAGCGTGATAAACTATCACAAGTATATCCTCTCGAAGCCAATGCGTCTTGAGAAAGACAAAGTTTTACTTCGATCGTAACGTGAAGCAGCGTCATAACTAACCTTGCTAATAGAACGACGACACGCTGTGATACAAGCTGCTTTGCTGCTATGCTATTCACCCATATGCAGGTGAAGAAGTTGTGGCGGTCCAGCGTATTGCAGACCTTCATTTGTTGCAGCGTGACATGATTTGTCGAAAGCACCAAATAGTTCTCGATGTCGCCGTGTGTCACAAAAGGCAGCAGATTGATGTTCGGTGCAGCTTTCTTACCGATTCGTAGTTCCTACAGGTCGACGCCGTCGCACATTTCAACTTTCGCTCAGCAACGTATACAAGTCGGTCCCACAAGCTCTTCGGAATACGACGGGCAAACAGTGCACACGTTTTCTTTCGTCACATTGCTCGAATAACTCGAACCAGTTCCGATGCCGCAATAAGCTGCACGCGCTGCTTGACTCAATGTTGACAGACATGGCAACAGAATGGCAGTCACTCACTTCGCTAGCCAAAAATGACGTCATGTGCAACCCATGCATTATTTTACATTTCATGCACTATGTATAAACTTTATGAAGCTCTCACCGTAGGGTCTTGGCGGCAAACCTGTGCTGCAGTTGCCTTGCCCTCCGTCAATGCCGCTGCCTTGGCTTCCTGTGTGTTCATGATGAGTATCGGTAGTGAAGTGCATTGAGTGAACTCCCAGCGAAGAAAAAGAAAGCAAACCAAAAACGAGCCCCACATTAGCGGCGCACCATCAAATGGGCACTCTTGAAATCGGAGCAACAGCTGCGCCTCTAGCTAGAGAAATTAAATTGAGTGGCTACGGTGAGCATAAGGAGCAAACTCCTCAAACAGGAGGTAACCCTGGTGTTCATTTCTATGGGAGACTCCTTGAGCGTCACTTCAACCACCATGGGAATGATGGGTAGTGTACAGGCTTCGAATCTGCTTGAGATGAATTTCGTTCTAGAGATAATGACACTTGTTTACACAGTTTTAACCAAAATATAAGAAGTTATCAATAATTATTCGTTTCCCTTTCCCATATTAAAAACCTGTCAAAGAAGACTAGCGTGGCAGAGAGATTGACATGAAGCCTGCACCACAATACCAACCAACGGAATATGGATTGCTGTGCACTGGTGTTCTAAATTCGGGATTACAAAAAAATGAACTTCCTTTTTTGCAATTGTGAAAAGAAAGACGTCTGCTTTTCTTTCAAAATTATGTGCAGTTTATTTATGCAATCAAATATACTGTATCGAGTGAGGCACACTTAATGTATTTCTGCTGCAACACGAGGATTGTCTGTTCATGCGCAGAACTGTCAAATCGAACAAATAAGTGGTGCATACCTATGCGTCTGGTTTACTTCACCATCGTTTTGCCATCAAGTTGATCACGTCTTGGCAAGATAATTATAGTAAGGAAAAAATTAACTCTATGCAGTTTCCTGGACGGTATGGGACACTACATCTGTGTAGACCAGTGCATAAATGGTGCTTGCTAGAACCTCTAATGCTACAACATCACAGCAAACCAAGAGACCTAACACGCTCCAGCAGCTTTCAACGAAGGCACGGTTTGAATGATTTTTGCTGCACTGCACTGCCTACACCAGAAGACACCACATGCACCATTGTGGCAGAACAGAGCTGCGGTGCACTAGGAGCTCTAGGGGTACATAACGCTTTTTTTTTCTCCTATGCACTCTTTCCTATCTCTCTCCTCTTTTTTCCTTCTGAAGACGTTCCCTGCACATTAAGAAAGTATATTTCTTTCAAATGTGCAATACCAACCAGCCCAAGTAGCCACCCTTTTGTACGTAATGTAACCCAATCTGAAGCTTTTACTTCCCATAGTTCCCATGGTGACTGAATCATCACAGTACTAGAATGTCATCAAATTTTTAATACTCTATGCATGCAGTAAAGCTAAGTGGATGTGACATGTTCTATTTATTGTGTGTTTGTGTGATGAATGCCATGTTCCTCTTTCAATAGCATTGTGTGTTGGGCTAGTTTAGTACAACGTGAAAACAATGCAGTCAGAGTAAAACAGAAAGAACATAGATGAGCACTGACTAGCAACTGAAATTTATTTCAGGAACACAAGAAAACAAGAGTGAAAAGCATATAGGCATGGTGCAGAAGTGTTACAAAAGCTGGAAAAAGAAACATTGCATATAGCGGAATGGCACATGTGCTGAGCAGATACACCAGCTCCTTGTCAGCAAGAGAGAATGATGCTTGACTTGTGCGTGTACAACCCAATCTGTTTATAGGACTACTGACAAGAAATTTAAATATTTTCTGATTGGCGCTCTAAATAAGAACAATGATGTCAAAAACCCTAAATGAAAGTAGTGAGAAGTCTACAAATGCACTGACTATATTTTTATTACCATTATATTACAAAAGAGCCCTTTTGGTTTTCGTATAGGAGGAGCAGTTTCGCTGTGATGTTTAAAACTCAGTGTTACGTCATTAGAATATCGTATCTCGCAGCAGGTAAGCAGCACCTCTGTCATATCTTGTCAGTCGCACATGGTGCATACAAACAACATGAAGTTAATTGTTGTCCAGCGATTCCAACATCGATTCCTGCAATTTACCATCCATGCAAGACGCAGAGTTGGCACAGTTCACTGTGTCAGCTCGTTGTTATAATGCTCGTAACAGTGAGGTAGGCTTGCAGATTCTGGGTGACGAAAACTTAGAATTCGAAGATATTTCACATGCCTTGTCTGCCACTGATATGTAGAAAGCGTCTATAGTCCATGCCAGGACAACAAGGAAATGGCCTAATAACAATGAAGTGAATGATGGAAAATGGGAAAAACAACGGGAGATCATTCAGGTCACTGTACTTCTGCAGTTTCACAGACCTTAGACTGCAAGTCCACTTGTTAATGCTTCCTGCATTTTGCCGCCTCTTCCCACATTCTCACCACTTCCAGGTCCTATTGCCGGCGTTGTCGTGCTGCTGAAGTTTTCCTTGTCTTCTGCCAAGTCTGCATGTGAACGCTTCTGGCGTTTTGCCGCTGCTTCCCGCGCTCTCACCACCTCCAGGTTCGCTTGCCGGCGTCGTCGTGCCGCTGCAGCGTCCCGCGCTCTCACCGCCTCCAGGTTCGCTTGCCGGCGTCGCCGGGCTGCTAAAGCCTCCCGCGCTCTCACCGCTTCTGGGTTTTTTGCCGACGTCGCCATGCTGCTGCAGCTTCTCGCGCTCTCACCGCTTCCAGGTTCGCTTGGCGGCGGCGCCGTGCTGCTGCTGCTTCGCGAGCCCTCCGCAGAGGGTCTGCTTGCCAGCGTCGACGCGCTGCAGCAGCTCTATGAGCCCTCAACTCCGCTTGCCATTGAGCCGCCTTTTCATCCATAGCAAGTGCGACCATCCATGGCTGAAGAGAGAAAGAGAGCTGGTGTCCAGAACAAGCGCTTATAAAGCATGAAGGTACAGGTAGGTATTAATACCGAGAATGCATTGCTTACAAGGGTGAAGAGTGACTGTAATAAGCATGACCAATTATAGTAGGACAGGTGGTTAGTGCATTTTACAACGAAGTGAAAAAACAGCGCGAAACATGAGACAGTGAAAGGGAGAGACCCTGTGCTGACTTACAACCAAGCTTTTATTCCACACATGAGTGTATAGATATAGCACACACAACATAAAAGAAGAGACAGGAGAACAGTGGCGTGGAAATTTTGTTCAAGAAATCTTTGTACACTTCTGTAAACTGTAAAGGAAAACTGTTTTTCTCGCTTCGTTGATCTTGCACCAAGCGGCCCAAATAAGCAAGTTAGTGAATTTTACAGAATACTGCTTCTGCTCCTTCGACATCTAGGAGAGCTGTGAATGCGCTCTCTTTTTTTTTTTTTTAGGACGGCCACACCTCCCTCACACGTAGGTCTGTCTTCACGTAAGATTACATAGTTTGGAAAGGTTATCTCCAGATCTCCAACGTCACTTGGCAGGCACGTTTCGGTGAGTGCGACAAAGTTTGGATCTGTGCTCAGTAAACGTTATTCTAGCCAGGTTATTTTTAGAATTATTCTGAGAACATTTACGTTTGTGAACATTACTTGGAGCGTTTCTATGTGTCGCGTGGTCACAACTTGCGTAAATGCAGTTTCTATTCTCATACCATCCCAATACTTTATTTTTTATTTTTAGCTTGTTAAACACAAGATTTACTTTGTCGCTTGTCTGTTTCTTGGCCCGAGCTGCTTGCAACAGTTTTTTTCTCATACTGCGCCCATGGGGAGTGAAATCGCCCACTCCGATCTTTGACCCCTTAAATTATAGCAAATTCTTAAGTATAGCAGTTTTTTTTCCTTGAAAACTAAAAGCTTCAGTATTATAGGCCATGCATTAAAAAACAGAAGATTTTCCTAGTCTATGAATCTGATCAATAACCACGAGTTCATCTTCAGCCACCTTTTTTATTACATCTTCATTGAACATTTCGGCAAGGTTGCATGTATGTCGCATCTGAAAATGACAAGACCAAGATCCGCCATGTTTGTCAACATATGCAGCTGCCTGGAAACGTAGTCACGAGCATTCGAGCGGTGGGATCAGGTCTTTGGTCGCGCTACCTGCTTCACCATGACTGTTTGTGTTATTTTTGGATGCAGAAAAAAAGTGGAACTTATTATTCTAAAGGCAACGGACAGCGATGTGTTAAAATGCTTAGTTTGCCAGCGATTATTACAATTCAATGTGCGTGAACAAGGATGTCCGAAAAGCGCCATATCGCTTGGCTGGCATGCTTTAATCAAGGAAAGCTGAAGAGAGAAATACATCCCAGTTTTCAGTCATCACTTCATTACAGGTTAGGGTATTTTCGAGTTATGTCCAGGTTTACTACGATTACTAACGTGATCGCACTGCTTCTCCGTAATGCTACCTAGATTCTTTGCGATGTGCAGACAACCTTTTCCCACCAAATAAAGGTGTCTAGTGTTGTTATATGAGGTCTAACAGTGCAACATATGTGAACGTGTCTTCTTTCATAAGACAACCTGTTAATTTAATGAACGACACGAACCCCGAGTGGACACTGAGCCTACTGCCGGGCCATGGCCATTACGACCGGACTACTGCCGCAGCATCTGCACTTTTCCACCTCTCTAAAAGTTGACAGACGAACACGTTGGATGCAGTCACAGCAGGCGCGCTGTCCACGGAGTTGGGAACATGACTCGAACTGCCTGTCATAGACGCAGCACCAGAGCGTGATAAACTATCACAAGTATATCCTCTCGAACCCCATGCGTCTTGAGAAAGACAAAGTTTTACTTCGACCGTAACATGAAACAGCGTCGTCACTAACCTTGCTTATAGAACGACGACATGCTGTGATACAAGCTGCTTTGCTGCTATGCTATTCACCCATACACAGATGAAGAAGTTGTGGCCGTCCAGCGACTTGCAGACCTTCATTTGTTGCAGAGTGACATGACTTGTCGAAAGCACCAAATAATTCACGATGTCACCGTGTGTCACGGAAGGCAGAAGACTGGCAGTCGGTGCAGCTTCCTTACCGACTCGAAGTTCCGACATGTCGACGCCATCGCACATTTCAACTTTCGCTCGGCAACGTATACAAGTCGGTCCCACAAGCTCTTTGGAATACGACGGGCAAACAG